TTCAAGCTCTAATTTCCCCTCCAAGCAATCAGATAGTGTTGGTTTCTTATTAAAACAAGAAAAATGGTATTATCACCAGCAAACAATGCCACTTTAGATCTGAGAATATCTGGGAGATCGTTAATGTAAATTGAAGAAAATATAAGGCCAAGGATAGAACTTTGAGGCGCCTCTAAAGTTACAGGAAATAAAGAAAAGTGCTATCCATAAAGGACAACTTTTATACAACAATTGGTATAGAAGAATTCAATGTTTACTGCAGCAGTTTACCTATTAATGCTTTAATTTTCAAATTTCAAAACACATTGGTAACTAAACATTTGTTTGTTTAACAATGTGTTGATATCTTTTCCTCTAGTGTAAAATAAAAAAAATTTTTTTTAAGTGATTTTCTACTAATTTATATATATATATATATATATATATATATATATATATATATATATATATATATATATATATATATATATATATATATATATATATATATGTATATATAGTATAGTATACTTATAAAGTATTTTGCTACTTTTAAAATTGAGGTATATTTACATGCAATGGTACGCGATGCTTATGGACGAAAAATGAGCAAATCACTAGGAAACATCATTGATCCTTTAGATGTCATCACAGGTATATCGTTACAAGATTTAATATCTAGATTAGATGAATACAATTTGGATCCTAAAGAACTTGAAAAAGCTAAAAAAGGTCAAAAAGAGATGTTTCCAAATGGTATACCAGAGTGTGGTACTGATGCTCTTCGATTTGCACTGTGCGCTTATACTGCACAAGGTGAATTTTTTAAATTAAACTAATTATTCTAATTATTCTAATTATTAGTTGTGTTATCAAATTTTATTCAAAAACTTTTTAAATCTTGCTTGTTGGAAGTTAGTTATAAATTTTAAAAGTAAAAGCAACAATTCTTGTTCTTGAATATTTTTTTTGTTTTTGTCTTCAATTGTATTTTAGTATTCAATTTTTGTTGATAAACTCTCTTGTTGAAGTTGTTCATTAAAATTATAAAATTATTCTAATATTTTAGTTCATACATATACAATTATTAATACATACATATAAATGTAAACGTCACATTTTCATAAATGTGATAATATTATTTATATATAACATATACACATATATTTAATAAAAATATAATTACTCTAAAATTTTAAGTTAATTGTATAAATATATTCAATACTATTATTATAATTTATTTACATACATATACAATTATTAATATATATACATACATTGGTACAATTATTAATATATATATATATATATATATATATATATATATATATATATATATATATATATATATATATATATATATATATATATATTTAGGGTGGGGCAAAACATAACAAATTTTCCAATTAGGGTCTGAGACTTGAAAATCAGTGCTTTATATGAAAGTAATTATTACACAAAAAACTGATTTGTAATGTACATCATCGTTTTCTAGCAACTTAGTCTGCAAATTATCGCACTTTCGAGCCTTACTTGCATATAGGCTTTCGTCTCTAATTCCACATCTTCATAAGAAAATAAAGCAAGTAACCAACATGACATGCATTACAAATATCAGCTTTAGTTTCTAAACTAGGCAAGTCTATTCTCAATTTCTTCATTTGAATGATAACACTATGGCGTGACTTGTGTCCGTAAACTTTACTCCAGACCGCCGATATATCTTTGATATTTCTCTCAACATCTTGCGAATGGCATAGAAACTTAGTTAAAGTAACCTTTGAATGACTAACAATTGTTTCTGATGTGATGTCATCCAGAAGTGGAGGTGAAGCAAAGATGGCCTTGTTCCAGTTGATCATGTCTAAGTATGAATTGCACATGAAGTTAATTTTGATCAAGCTTTTGTCAAAAAAGGAATTCTATCATCGGAATGTTCACTACTAGCATGCAGAATTTTTTCAAAAGCAAATTTCCTGATATTTCCATCATCATTACCAACAGCTGCCACCAAGATGTTTTCCGGATGGCAAAAGTAGCTGCTGTTTTGCAATACTGGCGCAACAATTTTCTGATCAGGCTTATCAAGTTTCTGGTAAAGCAACAACATGAAGAAGAAATTCTTGGCACCATATTGGCATGTTGGATGAGATTTGATATGAAACCATGACTGTACATATAAGTTCAGTTTGAATGAAACAATATGTTGAAGATTATGGGAAAGACATTGTTTGCAAACATACAACCTCAACAAACGGTTGGCTTTAGTTAGCCATCTGGCATGACTAACTGCACCAGGTTGAGCAATTTGCTAGTAGTTAATGTAATTGTTTCTGGCGTTGTAACCGTGTTGAATTAACAGACATATTTTAAGCAGGTACACCTGATCTTTACTCAGGTCACTCATTACGGTCTCATCAACCTCAGCAACGCAACCTGATACAGTAGTGAAATCAATTATAGATTTATGTTGAGGATCAAATTCCATCACGCCTTCTAATTGTCCTTTGGAAGTTCTTGGACCTTGAAGTAATCTTTGTAGATATTGTTCAATTTTTCGGATTATGCCATTACTTTTTCCTACATTAACATTGGGTCCATCGCAAACGAGTGCTCTTAAATTTGTTTCTGATTTAGTACTTATAACAACTGATAAAATTTCTTTTGAGATGTTGTCAGATCTGCTTGATGCTGGAACATCATGTTCGACATGTTTCGGTTTGGGAATGAAACCAAAGCATAATGTTCTTCTTTTAACTTACGTCGAGTCGATCCTACACGTGTAAGAGTAACATCAATCTTACCATCAAAACCAAAACAAACAATTTCTTGATTTTCCTCTGCATGACTCACAACTGACTTTTTCCGATATGCAGAGTTTTGATGGCGTAGTTTGCTGGGATGTATAGCATTTTCAGGGAAAAGAAATCCGAGGTCTTTCAAGGCAAAATTCACAATTAAACAGGCATTTCGATTGCTACATTTAAAGCGATCAATAGCTTTACACAGTTCTGGATAATAATTTCTGTTTTGTGCACATCTGCTGTCATCACTATCACTGGTCTCCTCATCTGTTATATCTGAATCGTCTATGGAGCTACCACCAGTGTCTTGACTTTCTGAACTCTTTTCCATATCAACATTATCATAATCTTGAAAAGTGCATTCAACGGTTTTCAATTTTGTTTTCTCTTGGAACATGGCCGCCTTCCTTTTTCTTCCTTCTGACTTCTGCAGTTTACCTGTCACCACTGGATCGATATTTCCAATCACCATTTTTCTGGTAGTGTTTTGGTCAACCCAGAAATTCCACTCAATAAGAGGAATCTTTCTGTCGACTGAACATTTACAATCTGCTCTATTTGCAATTCCAGCACTAATGCACTTACATGGACAAATGTCAAACAAATTGCTGAAACTTGACAATATCTTTTGATATGTCTCAGAAGTTCGCATTGCATCAGGATATTTTCATAGATCATTCACTTTGTCAATTAGCAGTTTCACCTTTTTCATTACGCTATCAAACGTAATCATAGGTATGCTAGCTGTGTTATAGATCTCAATCAAGTCTGTCGCGATAGTTCTCACTATGTCATTAACAGATTGGCACTGCTGTTTCTGGTGAAAAAAATATGTACTGAAGACGTCTTCACATGTCAGTAGCATATTTTTTTTCAGTTCCATCGGAAAACCGAACATTGAGTGTCGGCTTGTACTTCTTGTGCTACAGCTAGCCATATCTAACTTACTACTGCCAAGTTGCAACACAAATTAGATCCAAATTTTCAACATCTACAAAACAAATGATATCTAAACTAACATTAATTATTACTACCTACAGGTTTTAATACATACAAGTCATTAATTAGCCATTCAGAATCACAAATAATACAAAACATAATATTGTACTATGGTAAATATTTTAAGAAGTAACATTTGAGAGTTCAAGAAAGAGTTGACTGACTGTCTTTGGCTAGTTTAGAAATTATTCTACATGGTAATCCAGTAGCTTCTAAATAAATATGCAAAATTCTTTCAGAGTTTATATGTTCTTTTGACACCATTTTTAGTCATAATTTTTCAGGCAAACGTTTGTTTACTTTTTTAAGTAAACAAACGTTTGCCTGAAAAATTAAGTAAAAAAAAAAGTAAGTTAAGTTTAGTTTATATATAAAAAGTTTACTTTTTTGTATCGTTTTTTGATAATTTAAAGCTCTCAAAGTTGAGTCAATTTTTTTGTGGCTTTATTATATGTTAGTTTTTCTTTTTTTGTGCACATATTGTTTAGTAATTGTACACAGTATTGCATAGAAAAATTTTTAAAGTGGTGAAAAGTAAACAAAAAAGGTTTTCTACAAATAATCAGAAAATGTCGTTTAAACTGATTCGGATAAAACGCTATATCATTTATAATGGTTGGGATAAAAATTAAACCATTTTATTTCTATCAAATGTCAATAAAAATCTATTAAAAATGGTATAGATTATTAGATAAAATAAGGTTAATATGTTAATAGCTGTAATATGTCTCATTTATTCATTTAAGTTAAATGCTTTAATATATCTATATGCTGTAATATGTAATAGCAACAACGAGTTGTCTTTAGATATGTATTCAAGTAAAGTGATAAAAAATCTCAAATTTTTGATTCAATTTAATTAAAGAGACCAAAGATACTAAATATTTTAAAAATATTTTTATTAAAAGTAAAAAAAAATTTGCATACATAAGTCAGAAATTAAAATATTTCTGTTAATTTCAATAATATTTTACTTTTTAGTTTTTGTTCAAAGTTTTGCTTTGTTATGACTTGTTGTAATAATGAATCAGTTATTAATTCTGGATCTAATGTAAAGTTTGTTTATTATAGAACAGTATAACTTTACAATGGCTACTAGGTTAGCGAGAAGGAGGATTGAAAAAGATGCCACAAGTTATTTTACTAACGTTTGAAGATGTACTTTAGCAAGTAATTTTACTAACGTATGAAGATGAACATTGTTTATGAAACATCAGTTGAAACCAACAATTGCTACGAAAAAGTTTTCTATTGCAGAGATTTTCAAAAAAGGTTACAGTAACTGTTGAAGTTACATGGTCAAAGGTGTCACTATTAGTGATCTCTCATATACAGATATTAAAGATAGTTATCATTATCAAGTGTAGAAAACAATTCTTATCATGATAAGTACAGAAAACTATTGTAAAACATCAATCGGAGCAATTATAATGGCAAAGTGAACACTTTCAAAGAAGATGCAAGATTATTTTTAACTATTTGACATTTGCACCTGTAAATGTGTGTTTGAGAAATGTGTCTGTAACAACACTTGCTAGGCTCCTCCTGCAGAGTAAAATTTCATCCAAAATCAGATAATTTTTAAGTTGATATACATTGGCAATGTTGAGAAAATTTCATCAAGTAAACTTGTCATGAAGTTTAAAAGAAAAGAATCAAGCAGTGGCATAAGAATCTCAATGTCATGCCTGTGCCTATATTTAGTGATATCCCAAGATAGCGATGGTTGAATTTTACCTGAAAATGATGAAAATGATAAATACATTCATCAGGGTTAATTTTAACATTAACTACATTAATCAGGGTTAATCATTATTAATCAGATGGTTCTTCAATTGACAAAGTTAGTCTCCATATTTTCAATGTTGGCAACTACTTCCTGCTTAAGCAAGCGCTTGTCATCGATATAGTATCTCAGACAGAGCAAGATTCTCAATAACAACTGTAGTTTTGGAAGATTATAATGTTGTTAATCCAAAAGATAGCTTACTTGTAAATTACGAGTTGAAGCTTACGAGTAAATTATGACTAGAATTCAAAAGAAAGCACCTAAAAAATTCTAAAATAGTGAAATTTTTTTTCATGAAAGAAAAGACAAAATTCTTATAAACATCAATGTTAAATTTTTATCACCTTTTGAAAAGAAGAACCAAAATAAAACTTATAAAGTTTTATTCTCTTGAAAAATTTTGAATCAGGATCTAAATATCTTGGGCATTTATCTGGATCATTGCTACCTAGAGTAATGAAGTTCAGAAGTTTGTAGCAGTTGGATATAGAACTGCTGTTAATTCCGAATTCAAGGTTAGCACAATTAGGGTCATTAAAAAAGAATAAAACTAACCATTGCAATGGCTGAATTTTCTTTAGCATGCAAATAAACTTCCTCTTCAACATCTGCTAATTTATTTGAATAGATCAACCACAGGACCAAAAGTCTGTTTAGACCTAATTGTTGAGGCACTTGTAAATTGTGAGAAATTACGAGTTGTTGCATTTAAAAAACAGATGTAACTCTTCCATAAGTTAAACTTAAATATCTGAGCAAGGACCAAAAATTTATGTAAGAAACGTGTGAAATTGCCAGTTTTAGTAGATTCTGTATTACAATGTAATGGCTATTTTGCCCATCCATTAGCAATGATTAGTGACAAACGCTAGTCGATTTTTGAGTTAGGATTAAGGGACATTATTACAGCTGATGTGTCCGAAAAAGATGTTCGATTGTTTATGGAAAGTGTTGGACAACCAATAATTTAGTTTGAAAAACTTTTATTCCATATTTAATCAGTGGAGTGGTGTGTTAAGCTAATAACTGAGGCTTTGCTGGCTGTATGTGTAGAAAAATCATGATGGTTTTATTAGATTGTGTTTACATGTAAACCTCGTAATGCCAGTGTTTAACACAAAGCCAGAATATTGAGTTTCAGAATCAATACGGAATTTAATGACAGGTTTAAGTTCAGAATTATCTGTACTGTCATTAAATTCCATCATAATAACCTGTCATTAAATTTCATAATAATAATCTTCTATTAGTTATTAAAATATCCAACTAATGAATATTTTAATAACTGATAGAAAATTATTTCACTGCTTTAATTTGATTCAGTTTATTATATTGTTCTTTAGCATCTTATTTTGTAATGGTTTGTTTATATGCTTTTCTTGAGAGGTTAGTAGTAAAGGATAATCCAAGAAGACGTAAAGAAGAGGGATCATTGAGAGGGTTGCTATTCATCAATATAGGAAGGTTGACAATATTACGATAATTGTTTTCAGTAAATAACTGAGTTTTGTTGGAGTTATAGTTCATAACCTACTGCAAGTCCCAAACTATTACAGAAGAGAGATCAATTTTAAGATTGTCTGTTTTAAGCGATCGGAAAGTGAAAACTTTTTGTCAAGGCAGGAGTATAAAGTTGATTTGTCTGCAAATAGAGCCACTTAAGATGTAGGATGGTCATGTAGATCATTAATGTAGATACAGGACCAAAGGTAGAACCTTGTAGTACCCTAGAAGTTATTAAAAACGATGAAGAGTAATACTTTAATACTGCAGAAAGAAATTATTTTTCTCTAGAATGACAGGAAGAGTGAATCTCTCTGGAATGTCAGGTAGAGTGAATCTCTACCATTTGATTCAAGAAGAGTGTGAGGATTTGATTTATAGAAGAGTGTGGCTATTTGATTTAAGGAAGAGTGTGGCCATTTGATT